GATTGCGGTGTGGGATTGGGGTTTGGGATTGGGGTACGGCATGCTGGGATGGCAGAGAGAACGGGATCGGGGTTGGGATTGGGGTTGGGATTGGGGTTGGGATTGGGGTTTGGGATTGGGGTGTGGGATTGGGGTATGGCATGCTGGGATGGCAGAGAGAATGGGATTGGGGTTGGGATCGGGATTGGGGTTGGGCTTGGGGTTTGGGATCAGGCTTGGGGTTTGGGATCGGGGTTGGGATTTGGGGTTGGGGTTTGGGGTGTGGGGTTAGGGTGTGGGGTACGGGATATGGAGTATGGGATACGGAATACGGGATATGGGATTTGGGATTTGAAAATGAGGATGATGACAACGATGAGGAAAGCAGAGGGTGGGGATGAGGATGATGAGGATGAGAGAGACGGGAGACGATGAAGATGAGGATGAGTATGATGAAGATAATGAGGAAGGCAAAGAATGGGGATGAGGATGATGAGGATGAGGAAGCCAGGAGCCGAGAATGAAGATGAGGATGTGGATGATGAAGATGATGAGAAAGGCAGAGTATGAAGATGAGGACGGTGACGGTGATGATGATGATGATGAGGAAGGCAGAGAATGGGGATGAGGATGAAGAGGGTGATGATGAGGAAAGCAGAGGTAGGGAACAAGCAGAACAATGAGGACAATGGTGACAATGATGACGATGATGACGACGATGACAATGATGATGATGAGGAGGAAGGCAGAGGTTGGGAATGAGTGGGACAATGGTGACAATGGTGACAATGGTGACGATGATGATGATGAGGAGGAAGGCAGAGGTTGGGGACGGGCAGAACAATGAGGACAATGAGAACAATGGTGACAATGGTGACGATGATGATGATGAGGAGGAAGGCAGAGGTTGGGGACGGGCAGAACAATGAGGACAATGCTGACAATGGTGACAATGGTGACGATGATGACGATGATGACAATGATGACGATGAGGAAGAAGGCAGAGGTTGGGAATGAGTGGGACAATGGTGACAATGGTGACAATGGTGACGATGATGATGATGAGGAGGAAGGCAGAGGTTGGGAATGAGTGGGACAATGGTGACAATGCTGACAATGGTGACGATGATGACGATGAGGAGGAAGGCAGAGGTTGGGGACGGGCAGAACAATGAGGACAATGGTGACAATGGTGACAATGGTGACGATGGTGACGATGGTGACGATGAGGAGGAAGGCAGAGATTGGGGACGGGCAGAACAATGAGGACAACAGTGACGATGACGATAATGACAATGATGACAATGAGGAGGAAGGCAGAGGTTGGGGATGAGGAGGACAACGATGACAATGATGACGAGGAGGAAGGCAGAGGCTGGGGATGAGTGGGACAGTGACAATGACGATGACAATGAGAAGGAAGGCAGAGGCTGGGGACAGGCAGAACAATGAGGACAATGGTGACGATGATGATGAGGAGGAAGGCAGAGGTTGGGGACGGGCAGAACAATGAGGACAATGGTGACAATGGTGACGATGATGACGAGAAGGAGGAAGGCAGGATCCCCACCTGATGTCGGCCCCGTCCCGCTCCCTCTCCCGCAGGCGCACGCTCAGCTCCGCGTGGCGCCGGGCCAGCGCCGCCGCGCTGCCCGCGGCCACCGCCTCGTCCCCGAGGGCCACCGCCTCGGCCAGCTGCAGGGCCAGCTCCTCTGGGGACACAGGGACACACAGGGACATTGGGGGGACACACGGGGACACGGGGATGGCACCCAGAGCACTCTGTGCCGCCACCGCCTCGGCCAGCTGCAGGGCCAGCTCCTCTGGGGACACAGGGACATTGGGGGGACACACGGGGACACGGGGATGGCACCCAGAGCGGGCATGGGGACACACAGGGACACACAGGGACACCCAGAGCACTCTGTGCAGCCACCACCTCGGCCAGCTGCAGGGCCAGCTCCTCTGGGGACACAGGGACATTGGGGTGGCACCCAGAGCAGCCACGGGGACACACGGGGACACACAGTGACACCCACAGCCCCTCAGAGTGGACATGGGGACACCCAGGGGACACAGGGGTGGCACCCAGAGACACCTGGGATGGCAATGGGGACACACAGGGACACTGGGAACACCGGGGGTGACACCCACAGCCCCTCAGAGTGGACGTGGGGACACCAAGGGGACAGCAGGGGTGGCACCTCCAGCCCCTGTGGCAGGACTGTCCCAGCCGAGGGACACTGTGGGGACACCGTGGGGGCAGGAGGTGACCCCAGGGGGATTTCAGGGAATGTCCCCCCATCCCCGCGCAGGTGGCACTTGGGGACAGGCCGGGGTGGCCCTGGCGAGTGCCACCCCCGGGGTTCTGGGGTCACCTGTCTCGGCCAGCTCCAGGACCTGCTGCTCCTCCGCGTCCAGCTCGGGGCCCTCGGCGGGTGGCACCGGAGATGTCCCCGCGGGTGGCACCAGAGACATCCCCGCGGGTGGCACCGGAGACGTCCCCGTGTCACCCTCGGCGGCTGCGGGAGCACAGCGGGGACAGGGCTGTCACTGCTGTCCCCTCCCGGACAGCCAGCCCCGCCAGGGGACACGGGGACAGGAGCAGGGGACACCTCTGACCATTGGTGGTCACCCCCAGTGTCCAGCTCTGCCTGGCACGTGGGGCTGGGATGTCACCCTGTCCCCTGTCCCTGTGTCCCTGTCCCCATCCCCATGCCCCCAGCCCCGTGTCCCCATCCCCAGCCCCGTGTCCCCAGCCCCGTGTCCCCATCCCCAGCCCCATGTCCCTGTTCCCATGTCCCTGTCCCTGTCCCCAGCCCCGTGTCCCTGTCCCCGGCCCTGTGTCCCCAGTCCCATGTCCCATGTCCCTGTCCCTGTGTCCCATCACCTTCTCCATGTCCCCTGCCACCACCTCGCCTGTCCCCCCAGCCCTGTCCCCGTGTCCCCAGCCCTGTCCCCCACTCTCCATGTCCCTGTCCCCATCCCCCATGTCCCAGTGTGCTCTCATTTGTGTCCCCAGCCCTGTCCCCATGCCAATGTCCCCGTGTCCCCCAGTGTCCCCAGTGTCCTCCCAATGTCCCCAGTGTCCCCGCAATGTCCCCATGTCCCCAATGTCCCCAGTGTCCTCCCAATGTCCCCAGTGTCCTCCCAATGTCCCCAGTGTCCCCCCAGTGTCCCCAATGTCCCTGGTGTCCCCAGTGTCCCCAATGTTCCCTGTGTCCCCAGTGTCCCCACGTCCCCATGTCCCCTGTCCCTGTCCCACCTCTGCGTGCCTCCATGTCCCCACTGTCCCCACATCCCCAGTGTCCCCAGTGTCCCCAGTGTCCCCACATCCCCAATGTCCCCAATGTCCCCACTGTCCCCAATGTCCCCACATCCCCAGTGTCCCCATGTCCCCTGTCCCTGTCCCACCTCTGCGTGCCTCCATGTCCCCACTGTCCCCACATCCCCAGTGTCCCCAGTATCCCCACATCCCCACTGTCCCCACATCCCCAGTGTCCCCAGTGTCCCCACATCCCCAGTGTCCCCAGTGTCCCCATGTCCCCTGTCCCTGTCCCACCTCTGCGTGCCTCCCTGAGGGAGCTGCTCAGCACCGTCCACCACTGCTGTGCCTCGCGCTCCTCAGGGAAGCGCAGTGCCACCGCCTCTGGCCCCGCTGTGTCCCCCTCTGTCCCCGCTGTCCCTGCTGTCCCCGGTGTCCCCGCTGTCCCCGCTGTCCCCGGCAGCTGCAGCTGGTGGCTGGCGGGGCCGCAGACATGGTAGGACACGTCCCGCAGGTCACACTCGGCCAGGGGCTGGGGACAGCAGGACAGCGGGGTCACCGGGACAGCGGGGACACAGGGACAGCGGGGACACGGGGACAGCGGGGACATGGGGACAGCGGGGACAGTGTGGGACACAGCAGGGACAGAGGGGACAGCGGGGTCACCGGGACAGCGGGGACACGGGGACAGCGGGGACACGGGGACAGCGGGGACACGGGGACAGCGGGGACAGTGTGGGACACAGCAGGGACAGAGGGGACAGCGGGGTCACCGGGACAGCGGGGACACGGGGACAGCGGGGACAGTGTGGGACACAGGGACAGCGGGGACAGTGTGGGACACAGCGGGGACACAGGGACAGCGGGGACACGGGGACAGCGGGGTCACCAGGACAGCGGGGACATGGGGACAGCGGGGACACGGGGACAGCGGGGACACGGGGACAGT